TCCCTTGAAAATCTTGGACAGAAAGTCTGGCCTTGTCTCGCATTTAGATTTCAATAAACAGCCATAGCACAAATCAAGGAGCCTCTCTTAACCAGAAAGCTTGTTCCTGACTCATGCAATAAGGTCTGGACAGGCTGATCATTGTGTCTGCTAAATTTATTATTATTTTTTTCGTAGTGACATTATGCCAGGGAGCAGGGTTTTTTTGTGGATTTGTTATGTGTTTTAAGTATCTCTCTCCCTCCTTTTCCTATTGACATCCTGGTGTTAACAGACAGCAGAAATACCCATTTTACCAGCTTCAACAAGTCAAATACTCAGGTTGTTCAGAAACCAGGTCTAGTGGGAGGTGTCTTTGGAAAAAGATATTTAAAATCCCTTCCAACCAAAACCATTCTATGATTCTTTTTTTTGGTATTTTTTCTTTCTCATTTTGCACAGGATGGTCTCAAAAGAGGGCAATGACACTAGCACAGGCGTAGCTCTTCACCAGATACGTGTTAGGATTATATGAGCCCCTGAGGCCACCAGCAACATGGTTGTCAGTAACCATCCATTGTCTGGCCGATAAACACAACCTCTTCAGATAGTTCCATCTGATGGAAATTCATAACAGAATTTCTCATAATCGATGTAACTGATTATTAGCACAGAACGTTGTGCCTTTCACCACATTTCTGCTGTTTGGGTTCTGAAGATCATCCAGTTCTTTCTACATCATGCCTTGGACTCTGCCAAATTTTATTGATTTTGTTAAAGCTGCTGAATTTGAGCCCATTTTCATTTGTTTTGCTTCAGTCTAAATTAAGAGTTAATCTTCTAATTACGTACCACTGTAACCAACTCAGTCTGAGGAATCAGCAATGTCTATTTGTAAATTCACGCCCATGTTTGCATGCCTAGCCCTCTACCCCCGTATTTTATGCATACTCAGAGTAAGATGCCATCAAACATGACAAAAGATTATCTAATGAACCATTCAGCTATACCGCTTATCTAAATTGAACTCTGTATAAAATAAATTACAGTTTACTAAAGAAAATGAAACATATTTTACCTTACACTTAAAATTACATTTCCTCCCCTGATCAATCATGTTTCCCAAGGTTGATGAATAAATTAAAATCTCTGCTCCTCTGTAAGCACCAGGCTCTGGGTTGGGAGGTGGAGACACAGTTTCTGCATTAGCTTATTTTTATCTGTGGAATGATTCCTCTCTTGAAAAAAGACACTTGGGCCCACAGCATATATATAAATATTTTTTTTCACTCTTTTTTTGCTTTGCTTTCCTCAGTCTGTTTCTTTTGTAGTTGCTCTGTTTCCCTCAAATATTTCTGAAGAGTATATGAAATCTTCCTGAGGGGTAAGGTGAGGTGGCAGAGAGTGTGATGCCTTCTGGGTTCTTGTCTGAAGCAGATCTGCATGAGCAGTGAGGTAGGGCTTGCTGAAGGGACACAGAACTTGAGGCATCTTGCCAGCAAGTTTGTTCCTTGTAAAGAGAGTGCCAAGAGACTATTCTTAGTTGTCTCAGGTCAAAGTTACCCCAAAGCACTCAAGTCTTCAGAAATTTTCTACCAAAGTCACTTTGAAAAGGGTTGTTTTTTCAGTTGAGTCATTTGTTCCTGTGTTTTGTGTAGGGGCTTGTGGTTTGAGAGAGGTTTTTCCTGATTTCCTGCATCTTGTAGTGTCAAGAAAATATGAAATCTGAGCAGACGTAAAGCTTTCTGGTATTCAAATACCAGGACTTGGACTAAAGTAAGTACTGGACTTGATTTTACTTCTCTTCCTGCTCATGTGTCCTTAGAGACCCCTATCAGTAGGGGTCTGATGCTTGCAATAGCCAGTACTCTAAGAGCACGTTGTTATAAATCCACTTCTGTAATGACATACATATGCCTGATTCCCACTAAAATACTTCATGCTTTAATGTCTAGGTAACTTGTAGAGTATGGACCTTCATTCATTCATGCCTTGCAAATCTTAGATGTATAAGAATTAATATTTTTTGTTGTAGTTCTGTGAAAGTGAAATAATCCTGTATCATATCAAAAGGTCTAATCATTTTTCTGTGAAAGATATTTTTCAAAAAAACCCACCAAACATATGCCTACAAACAGCCAGGCAGTGGCTGCCTTTTGTTTTTTCGACTGCTAATATCTGCAATATTTGGTCAGCAGCATGCAGGAGGATGCAAAATCCATCTAGGTAGCCTTCTGGTTTTTTATTCTTCCATGGTGTGAAATATTGTACACAATTATTAAAGAGTATACCCACGCAATGATTTGGATGTTGAATTTTTCTTTCTTGCTTTAATTTTTCACTGTAAAAATAAAAAAATTACAGAAATTTCAAAGGCAAATCCAAGATGAAAGGCAAAATATGGCTTTACACTTTTAGCAATGGATGAAAATTGAACTTTAAATTGCATCAAAAAATGTCCAAGAGCATGTTAAATAACTTTCTCATTCAGATTTTATCTGAACCTGTCACAGGAACTACAGACTTTCTATTCTCTTGAATTAACGTATTGGTTTGAAAAGCATCACAGTCTTATGTTGTTTGATGTGACTTCTCTGAGGAAAGAGTTTCTGATTTTTCATGCTTGCTGAGAATCTATCACCATACAGGATTTTATATCCTAACAGTCACGCATACAAATATTTCTGACTGCTGTTGGAATTTAAGTGTGTGGAAGGGATGCAAAAAAACATGATGTGAGGCCATCTAAACTGAAAGATCCTCACATGAGCAAGAGCATCACAATCATGTCCAGAGGAAAAAGGATATGAAAAACATGTGAATGGTACATAATACAGTAATCTTTTTGCTTATTTGAGAAGAAATGGGTAATGACTTCATTTAAGGCTGGAGTCCTATATTTACTCATGCATATGCCTAATTTACATGGGATTATTCATGTGCTGACCCCAATGAATAATATGTAAATATTAGTGGGATTAAGTCACGTTAAATTTGCAAATTAAAGTACTTCTTAGAAATGCTATCTGATTTCCAGATATTAAGCTAACTCCATTAATTGCTCAAAAGTTGGGTAGCCAGTGTTATACATACTAAATGAAAAGTTAAAAGAACGAAATCTGTATCTCTATGAGGCTTAACCCGAGCAGTCCACTTTTCGGAAAATTATAACATGCCTACAAGAAAAAAAAACTTGTCTACTTCCTTATACAATCCAAGGTGGCTGCTGTGAAGACTGCTATAGGGTCATGGTTTTAACTAAGCTGTTAAGAAAATTTAGATGTAATAGAACTTCACAATAATAAAAAGACAACATGATTTCATGTATTTCATACTTAGGAAAAAAAAAGATTTTTGTAATATAGGGAATTATAAAGAAATTTTATCTGGTTATTAGTTTGCAGGGAAAAAAGTCATTGCAAAGGATCATAATAATAAGAAAACCCTGTTAATATTGACTCCACTTAAGTAAGAATGCAATTATTTTACCAAGAGTTTAGGACGGAACCATCAACAGATATTTTTTTCTAAATGTGATTTAAGTTTTGACGTTTCATTCAGGTCTTTTTCCAACTGAGGTTGTCTAAAGATGTGCATGTTTCCCTGCATGGTTTAAGCAATATGGATGATATGGGGTTTCTCAGCCTGGAGAAGGGAAGGCTCTGAGTAGATCTTATAGTGGCCTTTCAGTACTTAAAGGGGGCTAAAGGGAAGACAGGGAGAGACTCTTGATCTGTGAGTGTAGTGATAGGACAAGAAGTAATGTCTTTAAACTGAAAGAAAGGAAACCTACCTGGGCTCATTTGCCCTCTCTATCTTTAGATCTAGGTTAGATATTAGGAAGAAAATCTTCCCTGTGAGAGTGGTGAGACACTGGAACAGGTTGCCCAGAGAAGCTGTGGATCTCTCCTCTCTGAAAGTTCTTAAGGCCAAGTTGGACAGACTACAGCCTGGTCTAGTAGGAGGTGTCCCTGCCCATGGCAAAGGGGATTGGAACTAGATGTTCTTTAAGGTCCCTTCCAACCCAAACCAGTCTGTGATTTACATATGGCACGAGCCAGGGAAATGCTGCTGCGAGGGCAATGAGATGGATCTGCCGATGAAGCAGCCAGTAGGGCAGCTCCTTGTACGGCCCTCAAAAGAATGATCAGGGCCCTTGTCACAGGAGCAGGGAAAGGCTGCTTGGGAAGGGGAGGGTGAGCTGCAGGCAGGATGTGGCTGGGTGGACTGGTGTGAGCTGAGAAACGGAGCTGGGAGAGGTGGGAGATAGTAAACCAGCCCTTTGATTCCCAGTTACTTGTCCCTGGCGTCATAAGCACTTGTGTATGAAACCCAGATTTAATTATATCGGTGACCATATTGTGTTCTCATTGGAAAAGTGTTGTGTTTTCATTTTAAGTAGGATGCCTGCTCCATGGTTAATTTGTAAATACTCTTTATCAGTGATGTGAGCCAGATGGTATAGTAGATGACTTTTAGTGACTCCTGAAAAATAGAAAAGACTCTGACTAGACATTATTTACATTGCCTTTTTTTTTTTTTTTGCTGTCCAGAGTACGTATATATACATATATGTTATAGCTTGCTTGAAAACAGAGGGCCAAGACGAACCCTCTCAACAGTGGCATGTGAACACCTCGTGCCAAGTTTGGCATGGCTAGTGTGCAATTGCTTCAGCTGTGGTGCCAGTCCAAAACGTGTGCCACTCCACAGCAGCGAGGTGAGGGCTCTTTCCATCAGTGTCCGTCCACTCACAAGCCACAAAGCTTTGCAGGGGACCTCCACTTTTCTTGATACAGGTCCCAGCATAGCTTTGTGGAGCATCGTCTGTGCTAGATGTCTTCTGGTTTGGACAGAACCTGCATCTCCTGCCCTCCATTGCTTCTGTCCCGCAAAGTACCCCCCAGCCTTCGACTTCGTCTTTCCCCAGAGTAACT